GCTTGAGGTTGTCGCAACCTACCTATTCGGTGTAAGAGGAAGTGGAAATTTTGTCTCGAAACACCTCTAAAAGCGGATTTACAGCATTTACACAAGAGCAAGTAACCAGTAAGTAAGCTAAAGGAATCTGCAACGATCATGCTATTGTTTGCTAAGCAGCTTACGGGCTCTTATCCCCCGCATCACAGCATACCGCCGTCACTATGACTAGCTCTCGTGCTCCTCTCTACTGCTCCCTCTTCATTGACCGAATATCCAGCTCTTTTTCATCGTCTCCTCAAGTGCCCTTCACCTTGATTACAGTACTGTCCGTTTGTCTGCCACCGATTGTGGCCTGCACTTTGCGCAGATAGGAAAATGCCAAGATCAAGGTCGATAGAGCTGAGACTTGCAGCGCTTTGATGTGCTGTTATAAACGCATTTATGCTCTTTTACGACAGCAACTGTTCTTGGTTACGACGAACCACGAAACCATTCACTAGCGAGTTTGTTAATTTTCTAGTGAATCTTCTTGCGTGCATCTAAGTCTGTTTTCTTTCCTTCTTATATTTGATCTCCTTTTCCGCGAGCTGCATTCATCTAATCAAAGTCTGCAGTAATTAGTACGATAAACTAGTGAGGATGTCATCCCCCACTGAGCCAATGTAGGTCAAAGATCCCCATAAGCTGTACAGTTTGAGACTTTCCAAGTGCAGGTGTTTCACACCATCGTCTTCCTGCGGCAAGCTCGTTAATCTGTTTATTGGGTGAATATCTGGGTACCAGTGACTGCATATGCATCGAGAGCTCTGCAAATTCATTCATAAGTTAAGCCACTATTTGAATTCAAAAGTGTGAACTGCCTTAGCCATTTTACTCTGACTGCACTTGAGTAGATCTTCCGCTCAATATCGTGTACTTCCGGTACCGAGAAAATGCGGTAAAATCTATGCGCGCAAGTGCCCGGCGTCATAAGCACAGCTGACTAATAACGCGCAATTTTTGCCGCATTTTCTCGGCACCGCAAGCACACTAAGCGGAAAATTTGCTCCACTTCATGAAGCCCAGAAATGCTTCCTCTTTGTGTTCAAAAATACAATTTTGCTTGTTGACTTTGACATCCAGAAATTTGGAATTTTTTTAAACCAGGAAAAACAAAATACTCTTAGTGTAGTCGTTCTTCTAAAGTCAATTTTTTTGTATCCAAAGCTTTATCCAAGTTGCATCTTACGATGACCAGTCCGAGAGCGTATGTTACAACTTTCATTTTCACAATTTGCGGTTGCACTAATTTGATCTCAGCCAGAATTTGCTTAGTTTTTTTTATTGATGTCGCCTACTGAAAGCTCTCTAACATTTAAAGACCTTAGGTGAAAAATGAGGCAAACGAAGCATTTTGAAGGTTTTCTGCTGCGCCATTGTGCTGATGCGTTGAGCCAGACATCTCACGAGCGGTATCGCATTTCAAAGCCCACACCCGCAACAGGGGTGCGTTACCTCTTGACCGAATAAACACCTCCTGATGAAGAAGACGCTAGATGCAAAACAAAGCTCAGGTCAAAGGTGTGAGTTCCAATGTGCATCCACTGACACATAACCGATTACTAGTTTTCTTGGCTCAAGTAACATGTGCGTAGTTCCTGAATTTCGGTCATTTACCTCAGCTCATTACGACACAAAAGGTGACCGACACCGGAATTGCGCTATCCACTTTGTGCTAAGCAAGAATTATAATGCCAACAGCTACACGTTAATGGTTTCTGGGCCTCAGATCAAAGCGGTGACCATTCGCAGTGAGTTAACGCTTGAGCGACAGGTCCGTAAGGTGTTTGAGTACCGTGGAACACTTCTCAATTAATGCGTACGTCCGGTGGGAAAGCTTTTGGCAATTCGTGCTATTTCGGCCTGCGTTTGAATTGGTTTTGCGCACTTGGAATGAGTCTGAGGAGGAAAACTTACAAGGGAAGGATGGTTGGTCGAAAAGGGCTTTTGGGATAGGTTGTATATCATTGTAGAGCGCATAAAACGCTGATTCCAAACCTTCCTTCCTTATCTGCGGCACGTTCCTGGACGAGGAGTTATGAGCGTTTAAAGGAGCAAAAAAATGAGTGTTTTTCTGGGATAAAAACAGTCCCAATATTTTCCCAGCGTTTACATGAGAAAGCCGGAGTGAGGATATGTCTCACCTAAGAGTATTTATCTTATAGGGTGCTGGAAAGATTACCACTGGTCCAGCGTTTTATGCTCTCCAGTATAATATGTAAATCATCGCAAAAGGCCGCTACGACTGACCATCCTTCCCTTGTTAAAGACATGCACCATCGAATAGAAACCCTTGTTACTCGCTTGAGCTGTGAGAATCGCTAGGCTTGCCCAAAATTTTGAGAATAGCTTGTCATACCAACCTGTATTTTCGCAGTATAATAACAAACCTAAGATCATGATTTACAGAGCAGTCCAAAAAAAACTTGCGAAACCGGTTTCTGTGAACGAAATAATTAGTAACATATAGATACAGACCAGCAATTGATTAGGATGTATTCCTCTATATTTCGTGTCATCATACGCTTACGCGTTGCATATCGACATAGCTTTCTCAGCTGCTGTTAAGTAACTGGGAAAAAACGAATCGGCAGTCTTTCCCATCGTAATTATGGAAAAAGGTGTTAGTAAATATGGCATTTATTCACAATTTCCTTTCGGTTACATTAGAATCCATCTTCGTTTTTTTGTGCTTTGAAATTTGAGAGAGTTCACAGAACACTTTCTCTACACTAGTTACAACCTCTTAGGTTTTAATTTTCTAGATAACGATCTACAGTTTGCTTTTGTGTCTCATCGAGTTACGGTACATGGAAGAAGATAGTTGTTTCCCTGGTTGCTCCTCAGTTGCCACCTTTTCTACTGATTTAGCTCACAGCCAAATTTGACGCAGCAACCTAGAGAAAAAGTATCTCAAACGTGGTCGAGTGTCTTGTAGATCTTTATCGGTCGTGCATTTACCGGTGAGATGGGCATCGCTCGCCAACATCAACGTCTTGCGCAACTAGCGCACAAGAGTTTTAAGTTCAAACCTATCCTCGTTCTTCATGCTCAAGCATGTAAGCATAGTGGGAAGGATTCCTTTTCAACGATTGTTTGACCTCATTGAGCGTCCTTCTGTTGATCATTTTGCACTTCGCAATGAAATGAACATTCTGCTAAAAATAAAGATATAACGTAGCTACATGAACATTACAATCTCTGAAAAAATTTTAATATTGTGATTTGGTTGGTCCAATATTCTCAATTGCATTCTATTCAATACTATTCCCCTAGAAAAACCTAACTCCTTCATTTGAATACCAGCTAGTAGCATTCTAGTATCGATATAAATCACTTCGAACAGGTTGTGGCTTTTTTCATTTGCTTAGTGCAATAAGGTTTTCTCTTTTTTTTCCAAGGAGGATAAAATATTGAGCAACCTTGGCCATTTTTAAAAGGACTATCAGTAGATCGCTTTTGGGCGCTAACCATCTGCTCCCTTTATCTGCTGAGCGATTCTCCGAATTGAGCTACGATTATTTTTTGCATCATTTTCACGAGATGGAGCATACACAGAATAGAGATCTCGAGTTTTTCACGAGAAACTAATTTGGACAGGCTATTTAAATTTAATCTTGTGTTGTGTTTCTTTCAAAAATGTTCTAGGGAACAAAACGGGGAAAGATGATCGGTATTCATAATTTCGTTCATTGGCAACAATGAAATTCCAATAGTGATTCAGAATTTATTTCTGCAGAAAATCGGCAGATTTTGGAGGCAAATTCCGAAACAACATTTCAAGAAGCATGGCAAACATCTCCGTACAAATAACTACAGCGATCTGTCTGTTGGTGTCTTTTCCTGTAATATCTGCGCAACAAGTGCTTCAGAACATTGTAAACGTTCGCTACTAAGTTTTGACAAATTTCACTTCTTTATCCGCTTCATCATTACATAGTTAAATAGGAGTTTCTTCCCAGCAATCATAAACCAACATGTTCCCCGTGGTCGCACCTACTTCCGGCAGGTGTGAGACTGGGAATGTTTCCTGCAGGCACCGATTCGCGTCCCATAGGGCGTTCTTCCCCACGGTTTACACTTAAGAGATGGCTACTTTCCCAACCTCACTGGGCCAACCCCTAAGTCCCTAATCTCAAGGACTGCCTCTAAGCTCCATATATAACGAGCCTTCGCTTGATGCCCATCTTTATTTCCTTCACTGTGTTTCATAAATCCTCGCCCTAGTCCACCCTACCAGAAGCGCCTTCAAAGTTATCTAATTTTGCACTTAAAGCATGTGTTTGACGTTCGACGATGCACATCAGCTTGAGCCAAGATTATATCTAGGGCAGTAGATAGATCAAGATCAGCGATATGGTGAATTCTCTGGCATTTTTGAGCTTCATTGAACGACATCGGGAAATCATGAAATTTCTAAAGTGCGGTTATCTCAGCATATCTTTGGTTATCGCATATGTTTTCGCACACTCGTCAAGGGAATTGCTCGTAATAAAACTTCGTCACTTAATCTGCCTGACAATAGCTTGAAATTAAGCTACTGAAGTCCTCCCCAATCATTCTAATGTGTTAAGGTCAAATCTTATATTAAGTATCTTCCATCCGCTTTCCACCGAGCGCTCTATAACCACTCCCACTACTTTACCACTGAGAGTGAAACTTTTCTTCAACATGTGATATATCTCAAATATCTCAATTTCATATCTTAAATTTATATCTTATATCTCAATTTTATACCTTATTTCATATCTCAAACCTCAATTTTTGTTTTTGCTGCAATTGCTTAGCCCTATTTCTGAGAAAGGGGGAGGGAGAGCTTGGAAAGGCGGTGCGATTAGGCCTTACCTTGACTCCACCTCCTCTCAGGTCACCATATAGAAATCTCTATCCGTGATGTTCATTATTTACTCATTACTTATTCTATTATTTACTAATTGATGAAACTGTACAAAAACGACCATGAAAGAGATTATGTTACAGATGTTGGCACTGCTAATTCTGTTACCTATTATTTCGGCGGAATCATTCTGGATGACAGCCGATCTGTTGCGGGTGGATTGGAGAGAAGGATGCCTAACCACCGCCGGTTGCTCTCAACCTAGATTCAAGGTGCAAACACAATTCAGTTTCCTTGTATTACTACTACAATTTTATTCTGAAAGTGCTTCTCCAGGTGCTTGAAGACATGTTGCCAATCACCGAAAAGATTTCTATCAGTTGGCCTATCTCAGAACACTTTGTACAGGTAGAAAAGCTATCAATTACTTTAATTTTTAAGTTCTTGAAGAAATAGTGTCCCATACATGAAATGCTTTTTCTTGTGGTCTTTGTATATATGTGTCCCAAAAAAATGTTTAGAACGTTTGATCGTTAATATCTCTCTTCCCAAGAAGTCTTTTGCCTTGCTTCAGGTACCGTTTTGTAGAGCTGGCTTCAACTTAGATTTCCATTATAGAACGAATCACCCATCTCTCTTCATTACTGTAGGATTGCGGTAGAAACTTGAAACATATGGTGTCAATGTGGAAAAAGCTGCCGTTTCAAAATTTTTCAAATGATTGTGAAAACTTGTGTAATAGGGTTTTTATAGACGCTGAGTTCAATACTCAACTATTCACAAGATTACGCAGCTTTCTAAACGGTGTAATCGCACTTTTTTGGAACATTGAAAAAAAGGCCGCTACCTCTCACCTGGCATAACTCTTCAATGAAGCATCATAATAAGTTGGGAACTTTACAGTTATAATCAGCAATTCTAATTAGCCTGGTGTAAAAGTTTTCAGGCTGTTTTGTTTCCTTTCTGAGGCAAAATATGGCCTTTCATGGTTCAAAACCCTCTTTGAAGTTTCTACCGTAACCCCACAGTAATGAAGAGAGATGGGTGATTCGTTCTATAATGGAAATCTAAGTTGGAGCCAGCTCTACAAAACGGTACCTGAAGCAAGGCAAAAGACTTTTTGGGAAGAGAGATATTAACGATCAAACGTTTTAAACATTTTTTTGGGACACCCTGTATATCTCAGTTTTGATGCTGCTTTGGCTTTAACCAGTTTATGCGCTCTCAATGTGACCAGAACAGATGAGTATCGTATTTCCCTCACTTGCACACTAGCATCCTTACGCCACTAAGCGGCCGCTTTGTGAAGTGGCCTACTTGGTCAGTCAATCAATGGTTGCGTAAAGAAGCTTCTAGAGCTTTGACAATGTAGGTTTAAAATAGCTTTTCTGAGTTTAGTACAAATGACCAAAAACACTTGACTCCCGCGAAGAAAATTTATGCCGTATTTTGAGGCCGAAAAACCATATCCATATCGCAGCCTGAAGTGCATGTTATGTTACCATATACATGCATTTTATTTAAGGATGCCTCACGCTCGTTTGTGTCTCACTGGACAATAGGTAAACTAGAAGATCTGACGCTCACTTGCCAGGTGGTAGGAACTGACCCCACTTACGGCTTTCCGAGAGTTTGCGACCAGACGGCGACAATTCGCGTTTTCCAAGAAGAAGTTGCTGAGACATTTGTGAGTTTCGACGCTTGATCCAGTAATTACTGCTTGTGATCCCACCTTCCATACGGAAGGCAGCTGCGATTGCGCAACCTGGAATTTTTTGTTGCTAGTGCTTCAATACGGTGACCCAATAGTTGTAGGGCCGGAATCGACGTCATCAGGACATGACTACCATCTCTGAGCCGGAAGAGGAACTAGGCAAGAAGCTGATCGAGATTCGAGCCAAATGCTTCAACGCCACGATTGCAGTCCAAAAGCATACGGAGAGATGCCCATGGTGCCCTGATCCATCCGATGTAACGTTGATTGAACAAAAGGTTAGTAAACACTATTTTTGTCGTATCATCTTTTTGGCTTCAGCACCTATTATTTTTTGAACCGAAAAAGACAGTCACCACCTGATCATCTCATAAAGGTTGATTGCTTGGTCGATTTTGACGCGTCAATGTCGCTTTGCTGAGCTTTGTTTCCTTATGATTATTAGAAAAGTCCACAACCTCATGGTCTCACAAAGCATGATATTAGAACCTACAAAATCGACTTTTTCCTGCATACCATAATTAATGGATGACCTAAAGATTTGCCACGTGACCTGAGCGAGTGTGCAAAATAAGGCGAAAAATCCCTGCTGTGAGGCCACACACCTCTACGGTAACCAACTAGCCAATAACTCTGAAGTTGAGATTTGCAGTTGCCCGAAGACACTTCTGCCCAATCGACGTCGATTCTCTCACAGTTGAAAGGAGACGAGAAGTTCCTGCATGTGTGCGTTCTGCTACTTGCAAGCATTGCCGTGCTGGCTTCATTGGCCTTCGCTTGTGTACTGGTTGCTTTCCTTCGACAGAAAAGGTTTGTGAAGCAGTGTACACTCCAATTTGATTTACTGTATCACTGAAGTTGACCTATGCTATTTTGTAGGACTCATCGAAATATTTCCGTTAAACCACGATGTCAACCATATCCTCCATCTGCTTGCAAGGTGGCCGAGGACGATAATAGGTAATCCACTTTGTCTCCTCCATTTTCTACTATAGCGATCGCACTAATGCCGGCTCGCTATTTTTTTTTTGTAATAGCCCGTATATCATCTCACAACGGCGAGATATGCGTGCGTCCGTCGCGTATATGATGAATAGGCATCACCTCGCACCTTACTTCGGTTATGATAGATGTTCGCGACTAGTTTGAGAGGTCAGCTGATTTGCATATACTTTCAGGTACGATATGCCTTGGGAACAGACGCGTCCACTAACCCACTGGCTGTCTTCGTCGTCAAAATCCGAGGCAACGACGACGTCGCCGCTTGACTCCACGTCGTCGATTGTCGCGCCATATAGTTTCCGATCCGGATGTACAATACCTCAGACGCACCTCTATCACCACATCTCTCCAAACTCTTCAATTGGACCAGGACATGACTCGGGACTGGAATCCGTTTGACATCTCCAAAACATATCTAAGTATAACGTTCCCAAACGAATCTCACGAGTCCTGTGCGGGTATATCCAGTCCGGTTTGATTTATTTGAGCACTTAGCTCTAGCTTTACCGTATAGACATGTTTTTTCCTTCTTGTTCCCTTATGCTAACGCTGCCAATCTTGTTTGTTGTGCATTGTCAGCTTAGTATGTACAAATTGACAGATTATATATATTTTATTCACTAATAAAACTTGAGCAAATTGGGCTCGATTGTGCAAGGTACACCCGTTACCAAGGAAAGTCGAGGCCAGTATTTATACATGTAATTTATAAATCTGGTAGTGGAGCTCACTGTCCGATGCACCCATTTTGTGGGCGAAGAATGCATGGGAATTGGAAAGAATATGTTTAGATGCTTGTTCCAAGAACATCCAAGTTTTTAGTCAAGCGAAAGAAACAAACTTTGCTAAATTTTCTATGAAAAAAGAGCGCTGCTTGAGTACATTGGAGGTGTCAATCTAAATACTCCGTTTATTGGAAGTAAACAAATCATCCAAAGATTTCACGTAACAGTACTGTATATTTGTGCCGATTTACAGGTGCTAACTGATGTGGAGAAATTGTTTATAGTCACTTCACTTCATGCTGCCATGATTTGCGCAGGTGTTATTTGCTTACTATTCGTGACAGAAAAGGAAGTGTGCCAACGAAACACCTGAGCCTCAATATCTTGTTATGAGTGTTTGTCTATATACAACCAATTGTAAGAGCAGTATTTCATATAAGAGCAACCTGTATATCAACACGACATTTACAATCAACATTGCCTGTCACTAGATAAGGGAGAAAGAAGGTCCAGCCGTATTTGACTAATTACATGGACCGTATACCAAAGTTTTCAAAAAGTTTCAACGATCAGGCTATAGGTCTGAATGCTCAACCAAGAATACCTGTTACTGAAAGAAATCAAGACATTCTTTTTTGCATCGTTTGTAAAGAATCTATCAGAGATTGAAAATCAAAGAATCTGCAGCATATTATTGAACATTACATGCCATTTTCATCGCTTCTAACTTTTTGAGGCATGCGAGTAACCTTTCCAATCATGATTACACAGTTCTCTTATGTTTGAAAACAATCATAGTATCCTGCTAATAATCTCTTCCGTAAATGAGGTATTATATCTAGCGGACAAGTCTTCAAGGGGTTAAAACTGGCGCATAATTGCTTTGTCCCACTTATTCCTGTTGGATGAAGTGCTGCGTTACGCTTGGATATAATAGAATAGTAACGAGAGTATAAATCCGGGGTTTAGTATGCTCCTTCATAGCTATGAAATTGAAGGGTCAAAAGTGAGTAGCAATGAGAAAACTTGAGCTGAAAATAAATTAGAACCGATTATGGAAACGAGAACCGGTTACTAAAATTTGGCGGTCGGGCAGGAGGCAGCAAAGGCTTGCCGCTTCTGCTTATGGAAGTACCTGAGGACCTTCAGACTTCCTCGCGCCTCTAATTGCATCTTCGCACCTTTAGTCATGTGAAATGACCTATGTCCGATTGTTCGTAAACTTTCAAGCATGGCAAATACCAGTATAGGTTTTATGTTTGAAATTCATAGCAAATGTAGAGATTAGCCTAATTCAACTTCAAAGGCGCTATAAAAATATCAGACTTTTGAGTTGGTTTGAACGCATAACTTGATCTATCAAATCTTCAAGTCGGATTCTTGAACTAATCCTTGTAATTCTTTCTCATTTTAGTCATTCCAATTGAAGGCAAGGATTTTGAAGACTGTTAGCATATGTCTTTTATTTTATGGCAGACTTACTCCTTTTTGCTGCACGGATTTCAAAGAAAATCGCCCTAAACCCGATATTTCTCTAAGCTGAAACTTATTATGGCTGAGACTGGATAAAATTGCAAGAGTTCCAATTTCATCCAGAGTAAATTACTTTTCACGAAGATTTTCGTTTGATCTTCTTGCTTGTAAAGTAATCAAAGGTGCGAAGAGTGATTATAGGCGCGAGGATGTCTGCAGCTCCCCAGGCACTTCCAGAAGCAAAAGGGGCTAGCCCTTGCTGCCTCATGCCTGACGTCCCTAAAATCTAGTAACATATTGCTAGTTGAAACATATACAGTCATTTCAATACGTATTGGTTTTTTCTACCGTATGCCAGCAACGCGGCGCAAACTCGAAGCGATGCGGCGCCTCACCAATCCATACCAATCCACACCAATCCACGTCATGTTGAGGCTGGAAGGCATACGGTAGAAAAAACCAATACGTATTGAAAACGACTGTATGCGGTTTTGCACAGCAACATTATCGTGATACATTTGGAAGAAGCAACAAGAATAACATTTTATGAACGAGATAGTTGGTGAAAAAGGAAACAATGAGCAATGCTGCCTCTGCGAGCATCAAAAATGTGTTGCACAACACCAACAAGAAAGCTCCGTATCATCGACTGTGTCGCACATCATAATGCAGCACAAAAGATAGTGTGCGCATTACAAACTTTATGTTGAGCATCACCATGCAGCACCAAAGTTGCTATGAAAATAGCAATTCTGTGTTGCACATCAGCATGCAACACCAAAGCTACGGTAGACCGTCCTGTGTTACAGTAGCCTTGGTGTTTCACGTCACCTTGCAACACCAATGCTACTGTAAGTGCTATCATTTCTGTGTCGTAAGCATGCGGAAAGCTCTCATTCGGTGTTGCGCACTACAGTGCAGCATCAAACTACTTTGATTTGGTGTTGCACGACATCATGCAACACCAAACGCACTGTAAGCCTGCCTCAGGCTGTGTTGCTCGCCACCATGCAACATGAAGCTACTGTAAGCAGCTTCAGATTGTTGCATTTACTGCACCCGCAAGCTACTGTAAACGCCATAGTAGTGTTGTGTTGCACGACACCATGCACCACCAAAGCTATTGTTAGCAGATTGATTCTGTGTTGCACATCAGTATGCATCACCAAAGCTGCTGTAAGCAGTATCAACTTTTGTGTTGGACGTCACCATGCACCGGTCTGCAAGTACAGTTGTTTTCAATACGTATTGGTTTCTTCTACCGTATGCCTTCCAGCCTCAACATGACGTGGATTGGTGTGGATTGGTATGGATTGGTGAGGCGCCGCATCGCTTCGGGTTTGCGCCGCGTTGCTTTTCTCGGCGGCGCCTCACCAATCCACACCAATCCACGTCATGTTGAGGCTGGAAGGCATACGGTAGAAAAAACCAATACGTATTGAAAACCACCATATACACACCATTAATTAGTGCGCTGTTGGAAATGGTAGAGCTATTGATGTTGCTAGCCGGCGCATTATCAGCTTACAGCTGTTCTCCAGCATCTCTTCTATCGCTGTTCTCGAATAGACACTAAGTGCCAATTGCAGGATCTTAAGTTGGCGCACATCAGCTCACCAATACAGTGAAAATGTCGAAACTGCTCTTGTTCCGAAACTTACGTACTTGTATGTTCCGAATAAGGACAGTCGTATACATGCGAGAGAACACGCAATAAGGGAGAGTCAGTATGCGGGTTCGGGGAACGAAACTCATATCGCCAATATTCGTATACGTATTTGCTGAGATTGGCTCGCTAAGTGTAAAAATTGAAAGCCACAAACATTATCTTCCTTCTTCGCTTTAGACGAAATTTTTCTCAGCGTCGCAGCTCAAATCCAGTGCTAAGAAAGTGGCCATATGTTCCGTTGATTCCATATGCCTTAAAAAAGTGATTTCTGGCATCGACAATAACTCAAAACATATGATAATACACATCTGTGCAATAACAAATGATAATCATAAAGCATTTTTCGACGCCAGTGGTACCTCCACATGCAATCAAGATGCTACTGAATACTTCTAGCTGCATTTTGTATTATGGTTTCGCCCTGCATGGTGTGGCCACCTTGCATAGTATATCCTATCCGTTTTGATGAGTTATTCTGTCCGTTTTGATAGTTACACACGAAAAGCGATAGTTCTCGCACTACAGACAACATCTACATCAGAATTATTATCAAAGCAGTATAACTGACTTAACCTATCCTTGTCAGTTGTAACTTAATACTAAACGCGGCGACCGACGTACTCTCATCGGAAAGTTCTCAGTAAAAACTTTTTCACCGTAACAAACTGCAGAAACTGTAAACTACTAACTGATGAAATTGAATCAAATGAGACAGGAATGCAAGAGAAATTATCGGAAATGAACAGGTTAATCCTATAAGATTAACAAGTATCGCGCATAGTGTGCAGCAAGCGTATCGTGTCACAAATTGACTCGAAGATACTTGAGAAATTCCGAAATATCAGATTTTACTACCGAACTTGAAATAAATTTGTTTTTTGTTTTTTTTTTCATGGATCCGTCATAAGAAACCCATACTTTTTCTTAATTCCTTTGATTGACTAATATCCATTCTTATAATTCTGCTGATTCGAACCTGCTTGAATATAGCACCAAGCACTTATTGATGATCGAAAGTTTCACAAAGTAGTGCTATTTGCTAGTTGTAAGCTACTGCAAGCACTTTCTGAAACTGAGTAAGTGAGCAACGAGGCAGTTACACTTACTTACGAGAAAGATCTAAGTCACAATGTTAGTTGAATAAATTGCTATCATTCTCTGTGTAGGTAAGAGATTAATTCAATATCTGTCACCGTAAGCGAAAGGTTTAAAAAAAAGATAGATGAGGATGCGAGCTATGGAATTGGGTGGCGGCTGTCACAGGGTAATCTACATAGTCTACAGTAGATTTAGGGCGTTAAGGTTGCCAAATAACTGCAGTGAAAATTTGTGCACTACTTCTAGTAACCAAGAAAAATGGACTTTAGAAGTCAAAGCAAAACAGCTTTGATATTCAATTGCTGAAGCACACGCAAGCACCATATTCAATACAGTGGAGTTATTGAGCGAAGCGAACATAATATCCGCAATGCGAGTGTCATACAAAAGCACTCACGGTGGAATTTCGACGAAATTTGCTATCTTTACAATCTGAGCAAAATTCATGAGAACGTGTCTTCGTAGGCTGGTAACTCGGCGAATTTCATAGACTGGAGCCTAGTCTTGCGCCATTCGATAGCACATCTCCTAGTAACTTCGACTAGTAAAGCAAGAAGGTAAGTGTGTTTGACAGACACGCGAGAGGTGGAGGCGAAGTTACGAGCTTTCGTGATGCAGTTACAGTCACCTCACCGT